CAAAGTTAAGGGTTCCAGTCATTGCACTTAACCTTAAGTGCTAACCCTAACTTTCACCCCAGGGGGCTATCATGTAACCCTTGATGCCTGGATGTCATGTTTTGATGTACTTGTAGCCCTCCCATGGGACTACCCACCCATGAAGTTTGAGTGACATCTGTTGAATATTCAATGAGATAGGGGTCGTCAAAGTTAAGGGTTCTAGTCTTGGCACAGGAAAATTTTTGTACTTGTGACATATAACCTACGTCCATATTTCAGGACCAGTCCTTCCTGCTCGGGCTGCTGGATGATGCTGTGTCCCACGCAAATGCTCAGAGCCTGGGTTTAAACATCGCCCTCTTCTTGGTTCGGTTCGGACAAAAGGATAGCCAAACCTTTTATTATCGAGTCTCTGGTCCCCAAAAAGGACATTCACTCCTTATCCGTTCACACAGCCTGCGACGTCTCCACCAGCCGCGGCGATGTCCACCTGCTGTGGTCGCGGCAGGCACTCCAGACTCTGGTCAACACCCGCGGGAAACTGTATTCCCCAATGTCCATCCCGGAGAGTGCGAACTTCCAGAGCAATCTGGACTCGCGTAGGATGGACATTGGGGAACCGCTGAGACGTGTCTTCGCAAGAACTGCCCACTGCAACTTCCTACAGTTGTACTCCAACTCGCCTCATCTGCATATGACGGCAGCCTATAAACATCCAATTAGTGGCAGTGTGGTAACGTACGGGCTGTTGCACCCAGCCACCAACAGGGATTTCATTCACCGTTCTCTCCGGTACCTAGACCATTACCGTGACCTGACGCGCAAGACGGCCAGCGTGATGAAAGCCAGGCTGGAAGGGGTGCTTTACCTTACTGACAACCTCCCTGACGTCCTATCGCCCTCTTTTCTCATCGACCAAGCCGCCCTCGCCAATCTCCTCGCCACCAAGGCCATGCTGCTGCCCATCCACCAGATGGATGAGACATCTCCGCTGACATTCACCACCCTCCTGACCGCCATCCTGGGCCATCTCCTCCAACAACTCCAGAGCATCTTCGACAACAGCCGCGGGGTAGGTGGTTACGATGCCTCGTGGCGGGCGTACCAGTGCGAGCTGGCGCTGGAGTTCTTTTTCCATGGCCGGCCCATCTGCGAGGAAGACCACCAGCTCGCAGTGTCCCTGGGCGTCCACCCATGCCACGAGGATAGTGCCACCTACCAGAGAGGCATCTTGGGGCTGGCCCCACATCAGAGCGCCTCCGTTGGCCTCTCCCCGCCTCCGCTGAACAACTGGACCCGTCAGGAACGGCAGAGGCTGCGCATCGAACGGGTTTTCGCGTTTTGCGAAAACCTGGACGCTGCCCCTGCCGTGGTGGGAGAGGCCTTCGTGAAGCTGGTCCTCCAAGACATTTACCAAGACAACGACCGCCTGATGCTGCCTTCTCTGGGACCCTCCTTTTTCGAGCCTCCTGGAGTCCTTGCTGGCCATACGACCCTCGAAGAGCTCGTCAACAAATTGCTTGACCACAGCAGAAGATTTGCCTTCCCTGCCACCGTGGGGAGGGCCGTGGAGCTCTTGCAAAGGAAGGGGCTGGACCCCAAGGAAGTGCTCAGTCTGGGCTTGTCCACAATGCACCTCAAGTACTTCCCCAAAGTAGTGACCGTGGACCGGCAAAAGAACTATGTCCTGACGTGGAAATTCCATTTCCATTTACGTACAGATCTCGTACTCGCCTGAAGATCTGCCCCCCGAAGCGAGAGCTGCCGGGGACGTGGAGGACGTCCTCGACCTTCTGGAAAGACGCAACGTATCCTACTCAAGGAACATTAACGTATACCGCAACCATGGCTGTCCGTGGATGTCCCTGGTGTACCAGCGCCTCAACGTTGACCAGTACACCAGGGACCAGGCGATCACCATCTTCGCCTACGCATCTTCAATTGCAATGCTGCTTAACAACGATTACGTGGACTACAAGGAGATAGCAGCATTGCAATCGGAGATGCCCATCAACATCTATCGGCTCCAGAGGCTCCGAATCCTTTCACCACTCATCTTCAGGCGACTGCTGGGCAGCCCGCTCTACCGTTTGGCAGATGACATTCCTTTCCGAGTATCCACCACGAGGCCAACCAACACGGGCGGCTCCTTCGTGCCTCATCCCGAGGACCCGGCCTCTTCATTGACTGAAGAGGCGAATGTGCAGCTGGCTGCACCGGAGGAAGAGGGGGATGAGGTGCGTAGGATGCCGCAGCGTTTTCTTCCAGCAAACTCCAGCAGTTACATCCCGTGGTCAGGACTGGAACTCTCATTCATCAACGTGGACAGGTCACTCACACATGCAGCGGCCTTTGAATTGTACGGGGAGAGAGCGCTCACCAACCAAGTGCCAATCAGGACCTTGGAAGCGTTCAAAAGACAAAGGCGTCGCCTCTCCCAGTAAGTTGAAACAAAAACAAAAAACAAAAAAAAAAACAAAACAAAACAAAACAAAAAATAATAATTTAAAACTACAAGAAAACCCACAAGTACAAGGGACCCAAAAAAACTTCTTAGCCTCTGAGCTGGTCTCGGAGGCACCCAAGTCTACCGGACTACCTATACTTTAAGTAGGTGGGTTCGACTCCCACAAGACTTTCAACGAGACCAGCCATCTTAATTTTCACTCTTGAATTTCATACAAGTATTTCTGACAAATAACCTCTAGTACCTAATCATAACCATGGGGGGCAATCATAGAAGGCCTTGACGGATCGAAGTCTGCTTTGCTATAGCTGTAGCCCACCTTCGGGACAACACGTACACGAAGTTTGAGGGTCATAGGGTGAATATTCGTGGAGATAGAGATCCTCAAACTTAGGGTTTCTAGTGTAGACACAGTTATATTTCGTACTTGTGATATATGACTAAGGTACCAGGTCAAAACCCTAAAGGGAATCATGTGAACTTTTGATGGATGGAACTCTTCTTGTACTCTACGTGTAGCCTAGCATCTGGACTACATGTCTACGAAGTATGAAGGTCATAGGTTAAATATTAGTTGAGATAGATAGCATCAAACTTAGGGTTTCCAGTGTAGGCACTTGGGGTATTTGGTACTAGTGACCTTAGGGTTAGGTACCCAATCTTTACCATGGGGAGGCACCATTAAACGCCTTGACCGATCGACTTGTGCTTTGGCAGGCCTGTAGCCCACCGTTGGGACAACACGTACACGAAGTTTGAGTGCCTTAGGTTGAATAGTCGAGGAGATAGGTAGCATCAAACATGGTACAAATGGGTAAAAAGGTACATTTTTTGCAAAAAATCAGTGCCACTTCACATTTTCGAAACTTCAAAAAAACCTTTCTACCCCTGCATTTGCTCCTATCGCTCTGAGACTTTCAAAATCATGGTGTACTTTCTCCTGGGCTGTCCATTGGTGGTGGTTTGGTGGTCCTACCATGTAACCTCGCCGAGATATCGCATGTCAAACTTGGTACAAAACGTACAAGTGACCACCCCAAAATAAGTGACTTTTCACACTTTTCGAGATTCAAAAATTCATTTCCCCCCTGGATTTAACTCTGCTGCAAAACCCTGAGAAAGGTAAACTAGTTCTTGAACAGGGCTTTCCAACCATGTAGGTTGCGTCCCCACAGTGTCTAACCACGCCCAGTTATAAGGAATCCAAGATGGCCGCCATTGAACATTTTTGAAATTTCAAACCCCGATTTCCCCCCCGGATTTGCTCCAATCGCTCTGAAATGTTTTTACAATTGTTTATACTTTCTTCTGAGCTTTCGAAAGATGTAAGTTTCGTGTCTCTACGATGTAACCTCGCCGAGAACGAGCAGGATGAAAATGGTCAAAAATTTGGCCAATTTTCATACATTTTCTCAAAACCGCCCAAGGACCTTAAAAATGACCCATTTTTCGACCATGTTTGAAGCCGTGTAACTTAGCAACGATGATTGATGGACACCTGACACTCCCTGAACGCAATCTCGCTCGTGTGGACTACCACCTCCACAAATAAAATTCCAGTGCCTCCCCCCTTTTTCCTCAAGTTTAGGGGTGGTCCAAAATCGCAATCTTTGAAGTCGAATAACTTCTTAAATATGCACATTTATGCATTTTTGGGTCACTTTGGGCATGTCCGACCCCACCCACCCGACCCCCCGGGCAAAAGGGGGTCAGGGGTGGCATCAATCCCTTTACCCTAACCCTAACCCTAACCCTAACCCTGCCCCTGTGCCTTCTCCAATGGCAGATTCCTCTTCTGAGGAGGAGGAGGTACAGAAAAAGAAAAAAAGAAAAGAAAAAATTCCTAGAAACCAAAGACCGAAACATCTGTGCAGCATGTGCGGGAAAACAGTCTTTAAGATTAAGCGGCACCTTACTCTTACCCATGGATTGGCGGGGAAGGAGCTGGAGGACGCACAGATGGCATCGAGAACCCACCTCTTGTCAACCRAACGCAGCCARACGAAATGGAAGATTTGTCCCATAGATGGGTGTGGGAGAGTTGCTGCKAGGCTGGACAAGCACCTCGCCTCGTAGCACTCTCTCACGAAGGCGACCAACATAGAGCAATACACATGTCCAGTAATTGCAATGGAACATCATGTTTATATTGTCACCATTTACTAAATAGGGTCCCGACAAAAAAGAAGAGGAAGGTCCGGCACCCAAAAGCCTACCTACAAATCAAACGTAAGCATATAATACCATAACAACTTGTTAAGGAAAGAAGATTGATTACAAATGTTCCTCTCCCTTTCAGGCATGCTTAGTCTGACTCAGGGTCTGAGTTTGTCCCTGGAGAAGAGGTTAGTTATTCGGGGGATGAGTCTTATTCAGGGGACGAGTATTACTCGGAGGACGAGTCTTATTCCGAGGAAGAGAAAGGTGATTCGGAGGACGACTATTATTCAGACACATCAGGTTGGATAAATTCATAGAAGGCAAATTAAAGCTGTTAGCTTTCACCTCCGAAGATACAGCAAGAATTGTTCAAGAAGGGGATGTGAAAGCGATGGATAGGCAGGCGAAAGCATTGGAGAGGAGTATAGACAAAATTCACGAAATTAAACTCCAARTACAAGAGATAAAGATCGAAGGTGATTGRGAGCCAAACGAGGTTAGAAAGTGGACGGAGGAGCTCGAAGCTAAGCTTAGTAAGTATGAGAAGGAATTTAAAACTATCAAGAACGAAGTGACCGAAGTAGAGAGCAAAGAAAAGGAGAAAATYGAGCAAGAAAAACGCCAGCGTGTTTTCGAAGAYGAATTGAAGCTACAGGAGGTCAAATTACAGCGTCAGTTCGAGATGGAGAAACAATACAAAGAGGTTACAGATTCCTCGTCTAAGCCAGGGAGTTTTAGCCGTGCCAAGCTACCTAAGCTGGTCATAACGCCTTYCCAGGGAACTCATCTCGACTGGATGCGGTTYTKGAGTCAATTTGAAACAGAAATCGACAAGTCAGAGGTTAGCCAAGTCACTAAGTTTTCATATCTCAAAGAGTTAATTATTCCCAAGGTCAGGGGCTTGATAGACGGTCTCCCTTACACAACAGAGGGGTATGAACGGGCCAAGAGCGTGCTGAAATCCAAATATGGGAAACCAAGTGAGGTATCAAATGCGCACATGCAGTGTATCATTTCATTGCCGGTTATTCCAGGGAATGGGCCCTCCAAAATCCATGAGTTTTATGAGAATTTGGTTGCTCATGTTCAAGTACTGGAGACTATGGGTAAACTTAAGGAGATAAACGGATATGTGAGGCTTACACTGGATAAACTTCCAGGCGTTAGAGCAGATTTAGTAAGATTAGATGATAACTGGCAAGAGTGGGGTTTTCCTCAACTAGTAGAATCCTTGCACAAGTGGTGTGAGCGCAACCCTATAACCTTCGACCGTAAGGCGCCTATCCCTACACCTGAGCACGGTTTACGGAAGTCACCTCAAAAGCGAGAAAGGGTATTTCAAACTAAGGAAGAAACGAGCAAGATTATCACATGTGTCTATTGTGAGTCGGGTCAACACAAGTCTGTAGATTGTGATCAGGTGAAAGGTGTCCAAGAGAGAAAGAAATCCTTAGCTGCAAAGAAGCTGTGCTTCAATTGTACTGGCGCAAAGCATAGAGCGGCAGATTGTCGCAGCAAGCACAAGTGCCAAAGGTGTGAGGGCAAGCATCACACGTCTATCTGCGACAAACAGCCCGGATCGAACATGATGATAGCGGCTGGGGAGGGTAGCGTGACTTATCCTGTAGTCGTGGTCCTTGTAGATGGCATAAAATGCAGAGCGCTGCTAGACACTGGGGCAGGCAGCTCGTACGCGTCAGCTGCACTGCTCGAGCGCCTTAACAAACGGCCTTTGCGTAGTGAATACAAGAGAATTGATATGATGATGCACTCAACAACTCAACGTATAGATGTTTACAACGTGAAGGTGCAAAGCATCGATGGAAAGTTCGAGATGTCAACACTYGTGAGTAAAGTTGACAAGGGAGCCCTTCTTATGCTACCAAACCCAAGGTACGCTGAGATTATCAAAAGCTACAGCCACCTGAAAGGGGTCATCATGGAGGATGACGACACAAAGAGCGAGTTGCCTGTACACCTGATTCTTGGTGCAAGCGAGTAACTCACGCATTAAAACCGAAGAAAAGCCAAGGCTGGGACGTTCCGGAGAGCCAGTTGCTGAGCGTACTGCTCTAGGATGGACAATTATGTCACCGGGTAAAGAAATGGCCCTCGGAAACATGCTTTTTGCACGTTCATCTCTAGCAGACTACGAGCAGCTTTGTAATATCGACGTCTTGGGACTTGAAGACAGACCAGAAGGTGATCAGAGCTTAGTTTACGAAGAGTTCAAGGAGCAACTGAGCCGCAACCAAGAAGGGTGGTATGAAACAGGGTTGCTATGGAAACAGAACCACGACACCCTTCCAAGCAACGAGAAAGGAAGCATAAAGCGTCTTCAAAACCTGCTAGAGAAACTTCAGAAGAATCCAGATCTGATGGAGAAGTATGATGACGTGATCCAAGATCAGCTACGTCAAGGAATTGTAGAAGCGGTTCCTGAAACTCCAGCGGCAAAGGAGTTCTATATTCCACATAAGCCGGTAGTGAGAGAAACAGCCGAGACTACGAAAGTGAGGGTAGTCTATGACGCATCAGCCAAAGAAACCGAAAGCAGTCCCTCGTTAAACGAGTGCTTAGAGACCGGTCCCCCTCTCCAGAATCTACTGTGGAACGTCCTCGTGAGAAGTCGGTTCAAGCCCGTTGCATTAGCCGGGGACATCAAGCAAGCCTTTCTGCAAGTTCGCATACGCCACGAAGACAGGGACGTTCTGCGATTCCACTGGATCAAAGACGGAAATCCTGACGCCGTCACCGTTCTGAGATTTACGAGAGCAATGTTTGGACTTGCGCAGTCTCCCTTTCTTCTTGCAGGTACACTACAGCGGCATCTTGATAGCCTCGAAGACAAGTATCCCAGGGAAGTACAAGAAATCAAGAGAAGTCTTTATGTAGACGACATAATTACAGGGGGAGAAACCTCRCACGAAGTCGCAGAGTTGAAAGAGACCACGAAATCCATCTTTGGYGAAGCGGGTTTTGRGCTGCACAAGTGGCACTCTAACGATCCAATGCTGGAAGAGGAAGATGGCCATCAGAAAGGCGAAAGTCAGAGCTTTGCAAAGCAGCAGCTGGGAGTAAAACCAGGAGAGACCAAGGTCTTAGGATTGACTTGGAACAAGGAAAAGGACACCATCGCAGTGACGTTCCCAGAGAGACCTCAAGACACGACTAAAAGAGAGATGTTGAGGTTCCTTGCCTCGATCTACGACCCCTTGGGTGTGGTAGCACCAGTAACCCTTGTGGGCAAACTTATCTACCGAGAGGTGTGTGATCAACGGAAGGCATGGGACGAGAAACTATCYRGTGAAATGGTGAAGCGATGGCTCAAATTCGCTAGCAACCTGCCAGAGAGAGCTGAGACACCTCGCAGCTTAGCAGTCTTTCAAGAGCCTATCCAGTCGATTGACCTCCACGTTTTTGGAGACACAAGTGGACAAGGTACATCAGCGGTGGTGTATGCAGTTGTTTCTCAGAACTCTGGTACCTTCAGTGGATTGGTATGCGGGAAAGCCCGTCTAGCAAAGAAGAGTCTTACAATCCCGAGGTTGGAACTTGTTTCTGCACACATGGCAGCCAACCTGGTGGACAATGTGAGAACAGCTCTAGAAGATCTTCCAGTAAAGTCAGTCTACGGATGGCTTGACAGTACAGTCGCTCTATACTGGATCAAGGGCAAAGGTTCCTACAAGCAGTTTGTCACTAACAGAGTCAACAAGATAAACGCTAAGTGCTACATCACTTGGAGACATGTTGGTACCGAAGACAACCCAGCCGATATTGGAAGCCGTGGATGCAGTCCTGAAAGACTTGACCCAACGTGGAAGAAGGGACCAGACTGGTTAACTCAGAAAGATCAGTGGCCTGAGGACAAAACTCTAGAACCAAGCGAGGAGACTGAGACTGAGTCAAAGCAGACGAGAGAAGTGTTTGGAGCAGCTGTCGTCACCGAGGACGAGATGGACGAAATGTTAAAGAAACATTCCTATTGGAAGGCCGTCCGTATAACCACTTCGATTCGGCGGTTCGCGAAGAACAGTCGTCTGAAAAGAACCGAGCGAGTGTCTGGGCCTCTGAAAGCTAAAGAAACATAGTTTCAAGTCAAATGGTGGATAAGGAGAGAACAAGAAAGGTACATCCAAACGGAAAGGTTCAAGGAAGACCAACTTCGGCTCAACCTACAAAAGAACCCGGACGGGGTCTACTAATGCCGAGGAAGAATCCAGGGAAGCTATCCAACCTACATTCCCCCAAGGACACTGTTGGCAGAAAGGATGGTCCAAGATGCCCATCTCCTGACCCTGCACGGGGGAGTGGGTCTAACTATGTCATTTGTTAGACAAACTTACTGGATTCCACAGCTGAGGTACCTGACAAAAGGAGTAGTAAACAAGTGC